AATTAGCGTCAAGATTTGCGCCCAATAGACTATACGTTACACAAGAAATCACTGACCCATATTCTGTGATAAATCAATCACCACATTCAATACAAGTATTGATACCGTACACCATTCCTTTTTGGCCGAAGTTTAAATTATATATAATGAATTTTAATTTCTATTTCTGTCTTAGAAATGTCTGTAACTGTTACAACATTCTAAAATATTTATTTCTAATATCCAATTCATATAATTACTATTTTATGAATTCCATAATTACAACTAATCTTCCAATCGGAACAGCTTTATTACCTTCAAATCATCAAACTTCATCCACTAAATTTCTATTTCCGCAATATCAGTAATATTAATTGATAATGGAGTCGGTGTCAACTGAAAATTTAAATTGTCCTTTGTATGTCGCGGGATGTCTATGAGCGGAAATACGCGACATGGAGCCACTGTCAGTTTCTGCACTGATTCCGTTCCAGAACAAATGTCGCTCAACGTGTCTCCTGATGCGTACGTAGTTTAAATCAGTCACAAATTCTGTGTAATTATTAGGTAACCAAGAAAGTTTTTGCCGTTTTAATAAATGATACGCAAAATGGATGAAACAATCCTTCATTCAGAAGAGTAATCACTTTCGGCTTCTATTATGTACGTTTTTCCAACGACCTAACAAATTTTCTATTCATTTTTTATAAAAAGTTTCCTATCTGGTGTAAAAAGAAAGTGATTTAACTCCCTTTCAGCAACTTGATGATTTTGGAATCGCCGATTTCGTAAACGGTTTTCTACTTCCAAAAAAAGATGATAGTCCGAAGACGCGATGTCTGGGGAATATAGGGGATGGTACGATTGGGCTCTGGTGACCAATTTGAATTAATAAAGTAAACAAAACCAAAGTATTCACTTTGACACAGTCATAAAACTTTAAATGATTAATTTCCGTAATTGTTACAGACCAGTAAATTCCTCTGTTAAATAAGCATTTTTTTAAGCATACATAACCACACTTTTAATTGATAGAAGCTGGCACGTATGTACAGTTTGACACTGGCAAAACCTAGAAACGGCACGAATTTTCTTAGTTACCTGATAAAAATTTTCTGAATGAAGTGGTGTTTAAACTCATTTTCATTGCATAAACAAAATTTGATCTTTCATGAAGGTTTAACGAAAATTTCGTAGAAAATAAAGAAATGTTTGTATTGCATTTATAATTGTAGTACGGGTACATTATTCGTCACCCCTTCGATGATCCAGAAGTCTTCCATCGGATCCCTTACTAGTACTCTAACTTACTCACTCTCGGTAATCCCCTTTCACTTCCTCGTTGACCGACTCAGCCAGCCGTTCGTAATTACACTCTGTATACCCTCACGATGATCTACGACACCTCAGTATCGTGAACATCATGGTAGCCCTTACAATATTACTTAAATATAACACCTAGTTACTAAATGAACAAGAAATAATAACTAATTTTAATATATTAACATATTATTAAGAGGAGACGTATCAGCTCGGATACTGTTAAGATGCGTCTCCACTGGTGTTGGCAAATTCTATACGAATTCTTCTTTCTTTTGGTGCGCTTGTTCGCGTACTGTACCTGAATTGGAATCTGCCGCAGCGAAAGAGTTAATGAGTAACGAATGCACAACGAACAGTCAATGAACTGATTCCTTAAAAAGCTGCTGTAGACAGAATATTTAGTTCTTGTAGGTGTTCATGTAACTGTTCGTGAATTTCTTACGAGCAGTGTTTGCGAAAATATCGCGTAGTGGTCAGGGTAAAGTAGCCTAATACGAGACCTTTTCTAATATGAGACCCCAGCCTATCTCTGTTGCGGAGAAGTCTTAAAAATCGCAACCAATTTAAAAAAATGCACCACAAGAAAACGCATAAGAAGTGAAGTTCAAGTGATGAGTGTGAAGAAGACATTGTTCTGAACGATGAAAGTGATGACGAAGAAAATTATGATGCAGAGTGCTTGTTTTGTATAGGACTTTATTCTTTAGATGCACATGGTGAATAATGGGTTCAGTGTATCAAATGTTATAGGTGGGCTCATGAAGACTAAGGTGCAGACGCAATTAATTTTATATGGCCAATGTGTCGAAACAGACAGACAATATAAGTTTTGACAAGGTGAAACCTGGGTTTCATATTAGGCAACCAGTTTTTGAATTCCTGTTTCTGTATACTTTTAATTTTTATTTTATTATAATGAAACTCTATCTGTTTTGTTATAATTTCTCACATATTGTAAAATTGTACACATCTTACATTTAAAACGTGTATCGTGTTTCAATAAATGTATTTTTAATCGAGAATTATGCGTGCTTAAAAAAATGGGTCTCATACTTACTCTATAAAGACTTTTCAAACTTCTGGTGAGCATTGTTTACAAACAGTGTTCATGAATTATGTACCGACGAATAGAGACCTTTACCCAAACATTAAATGCCGTTTACACGGAGCATGTTTACGTATGGATATTTACTCGCATACACGTGTGTTTCAGTATTATTTCATGAAATATTGTTGGCCACAGGTATTAGGTTCTGCATAAAGTGCCCAAACAATAGTGTTTTTTTATTTACATTACAAATTTCTTCTTCATCTACATTGAAATAGGAAATATCATGTACTATTAACAAGTATTCGTTTTGCCGTATAGGTACAAAAAGGTACAGAGAAATAATAAAACAACTCATATATTAATATCAATATTTTCTTTCTGATATGTACTCCCGTTCGTAAGTATGTATTAGGATACCAGTTCTGACTGAAGGATACTTAAATATTCTTTACAACTTACATATTTTATAATGCTTTTATTAGCTTGTAATAAACATTACTTACTAATTTGTTGAATAGAAGTATACAATTTAAATAAATTATAATAAATCTGCCAATAATTACAATGTGTATAGCTTATGATTCGTTAGTAGTGAAAATTGAAATTCTGGAGACTTATTTAATTAAATCTGTAATGTAATAAATATACAACTAATTATATGTATACCTTATATCAGCGTAAACTTTAACTATTCAGTTTTAACGTACCCAAGAGAATATGTACACAAATTATTCAATAACATTGTAAAGACTATTCAGGTTTATTTAATATTTCCTTTCCAAATATCACACTATGATACAGTAGCTGACACTCTCTCAGCAGTGAGATTTATTAAATCAAAAATTTAATAAAACACCACACCAATAGTTTCACAACGGTGTATAAAATATAAAGCTAATAAAATATAAAATACAAATATTCAATTATAATAGTTGAATCAATAATTCGTAATAATAACTTCCAGAGGCTCCTTTTTAAAATATCACTATATTCCCTAATTCTGCCACTGGATTCACCCAATTACCCCAGTTTCTATATACAACACCGGCGGGAAGCATAAATTTTTCGCGGAGGAAATTAATTTATCCTTACGGACGCGGACGTTCATACCTTCACGGGCGTAAATTGCATGTGCAACGTCTAACGAATTTAGTGGAATTTATCTTTGAAGACGGTCCTCAAGTTGCTTGACGTGGGGAGGAGGACGGAAGATGTTAATTGGTCTCGCTTAGTTATTCTTCAATTACATTTGCTGCTGCACCTTGCTGTCACGCCCCTCGCCCTTTCTTGTTTCAATTCTTTCCGTTGCAATTACACGAGTACGTGTTACTTGGCGAAGTAATTTGCTGTAACAGTGCCGCAAGTCACTTCGGAAAACCAGGACAGCTTCTTCTAGGCGCACAGAAATTACGGCATCTTTGAAATGATTTGTCTATACAATTTTCCCTTTATTTTTTTCATCTGTCTGGTCTTGGAGGATTAGATGTGTTTAAAGTCTAGGATAGATCTGAAATGAGTTAAGATTTACGAATTAGGTAGGGGCGTTAGATTTCGGTCGAATTTGATTTAGGGGTTTAATCGAGTACGGTAAGATTAGATCTGCTTTGATTTTTACTTTCATTTCTTGTCAAATTGAGAGGTTTAGCCCAAATTTCATTGGTACTACTGTGCATAGAAACTGAAACTCGAGGAAATTCTAACAATAAACAAAACGGAACAATACTATAAATGTATACTAAACATCCACGGAAAACACTTGTTCCCTTCTGTTTATTAATGATATTAGATATTATATATTACATTAGATATAATATAAGGTTTATACATTATATTAGATGTTTCATCTTTTCTCGTCACTGCCAAGTGATACAAACGCGAAGAAAATTTAGCGCCATTATTGTGCAGAGATTGCTTTTTCTCTAAATTACTGTTAACTTAATTATTATTTCGTCAATTCCATAAGAAATCTTTCGTTGTAAACGGCTTTATAACCATCAAAGCATCATGATTCAACAACTGCATTTCTATTAATTCAAATTCTTTGGAAACTAATGTGTGAATCATTCATCATCGCAACGACAATGGCTCATTCAATTTCATCGCTGATTCTAATTATTATGTAATGGTGTCTGTGTTGATGAACATTTTCAGTTTCTGAAAGTGTCGTGAATAACCGTTCTAATGTATCACGTAACACATGATTTTTATTCGGATATCGTACAGCGTACATCTATTGTGTCATCACAGCGTGGCGCTTGCCCTCGTCGTAAATTAAAGCGAAATTCTCACTGCGTATTCATTAACGTAGCCAGTTGTTAGCATCTGTTGGAACACTGTCCAAAGTGACCGTTGCTCAGATAGTATCTATGTCACATCATGTGAAATACATTGAAGCACATCTTGTTGGCGACATATGTAGTAATTCTCTTATTTCCATGGTTTTAGAGATATTCAATGTGATGATATTTAATGGTTTACATTTCTATGGTTCACCTTTCAATAGTCAACGACGATTTTGTTGGTATTGTTAAAGTACTTAGAACACTTGTATTGATTGTAACAAGAAAAGCAGAGATGATAGTGTAACTAGGGCCCAATGTGCACAATATTATTAATATTATTAACGCAATAAATTAATATCGCTCACCTGTTCGACCCACAGGTTCGTCGTCATGATTTGATTCTTCAAGTTCTGCAACAGAAAGTAAAGAAATATGTCAGATATCTATCTATCTATCGTTGTATTGCGTAACAGAATAACTGTATTGTAACAGAATAATTTGTATTACTTTATTTATAGTGAAAGGGTCACTTTTCATTTAGTATTATTTATAGAATGATTTAAATTAAATCAATTACTACGGACGTAATAGTTGTTTAATCCTCGTGCATTTTTCAATCAACTAATGCGTTACTATTCCTTAAATTACAACTGTAGATTTTTGAATTGAAGAATTTGCCTATCGCTAAATTATAATATACATGTGCAAGCATGTAAGCTGTTGGTGTTAAACTAATTTCCAAATTTCTAGAATAAAAAGTATAATTAAGAATTAAATATTGGCTTCTAATCAACTTCATCCGAACAGTACACGACGATTAAATTAAATACAATTATATTGCATAAATACAACTAATGAAAAATTTTCTATACAATATAAGATGTTATAAAAATATGTAGCTTTAACAGAAATCGTCCGTGCAATATCTTCGTCTTTTTCCTACATGAAAAAATTGCACAAGCACCTTATTGGATGCTTCCAATATTTGATCTGATATTAGAATCGATGTCTAATAAAAGTTCAAGGAGCGAGAATATGAAAACCTTGCTTATTGCTGCACTGTATATACACATACCGCAAATATCGATTTCTATATATTGCAATTCTCGGATGAACCCAGCGGAACGGCCAATTATAGGTTATCATATTTCTCTCGGACCGTTTAAATGCCGCAATAAACGGATTTTCGATCGTTTTATATTTGTCTTCTTTATTAGCGTGTATAAGAAACTGGTGCACACACCAGAATCGAAAGTTTGATCAAACGCCTTGATTCTAGACCGTACCTTCGTAAATTATTCATTCTTTGGATCGGCGTTCGCGAAACATTTGGGAACGGCTAATTTAAATCCGGCACCCTGCAAGTTTTAATGAGTTTGGTATTCGTTCTTCTGAAGAAGAACGAAACTGTGTGACAGCTGTGAAATGTAAATGCCTCAGAGGTATATACTCAAGTGCCAAGAAAAATAAAGATAGGATTCAATGGGCGAACTTCTCGATCGATGCGAACGTTCGTTTCGGTTCTTCATCGGCGATGTTAATTTTCCCTTTGATGAACGTTCCCTTGAACACGATTAAAACGTTCTTGTCCAACTTTTACAGAAATCTAGAGACGGAAAGGCGCTATTATTCGTTGAACTAATCCTAACGATTATTAATGCTATGAAAAATCGATGTAACATGGAATAATCGAGTATGGTTAATCTGTTAGGTTAGCTACACTTGAAACTCAGTTACAAGATTATCTGCATATTCCAAATGTATACACAAGGCTATAACAACTTGAGCATTAAGTTTGAAGATTAATTTCTTTGAAGATGAATTTCTTTAGCGTTTTCTGTACTAATCAACGAAGTGTTTGGATTTCTTTAAGAAATTAACCTTTCAGAAAATCCATACCTTTTGGTAATTAATACAAAAAATGCTAAAGGAATTGATCTTCAAAGAATTATTATGGTCAAACTGTTATAATTCCGTCCGGTAAATACTGTATGTATGTATATACAATTAATGTTAAAGTTGGAATAAACAATTATAATATTATAGATACATTCACTGTGAACATTTAAAAAAAAGGGTTGCTAATCTGGAAGTGGAAGAAAAATGCATAAACCGACTTTCACATAAGAACAGTTCAACCTCTGCATAAGAAATTAAGACTTATAGTTTATTTTAGAATATTGCAATTGTCTCTTGTAATAACGAGATCGATGAATTTTGGCAATGAATATGGAATTGTTCACACACTTTATAATTGATTATCAGTCTTATCATTTATAAAATCTTTTCCTTATGTTATATTTTCGTTCAATGGTTTACTACTATTTTCTATGTTACTCAATGCGTGTTAATCATAAGGACACACAGCTGACACAGATGGATAAACACGGCTTGTCACTTTCACAGCTGAGGTCCAACATCAACCGTCTTAATCAAATATTTTCCATCGATATCACACCGAGAACATTTATTTATCACAACTGCCTTTGACATCTCGAAGGGAAGCAGTAACACGCGGGCAAATAATGTCATGTCGGAATAGTGACCCGTAGAGCTTTAATAACACACTTACAGTTCCGTAACATGTGGAGTCTGGCACACACATTGATAGAAAATATGCCAGCTATCTTGAAAATGAAAAGTATTTGCTGTTAAAATTTTTAGGATCCAGAAAACCTCAGAATTATTACGAGAAGGAAATTTCAAATAAATGTGCCATTATCTTTATTACTAGATTGCGAATTTGCGATTTATAAAGACAAGAGCAAAAATACGAATTACTTTTTTCTCTAAAGTATCGCAATAGGTTAAGAATAAGAAAAGGATCTCATTACATCTGATGAAAGTTTTGTCTTTCATTGTATTTTACAAAGCAATATAATGTATAAATGCATAAAATCCGCAGTCTATTTAATACGTTCTTTAAAACACTTATTTGAATCAAAATGTATAACGGCTTGAATATCTCATTGAGTGATCACTTTGACACATTCCTTCTTCGTAATTTTTTTAGTAAAGAGGAAGCTACAAATCCATAAAATATAAAATTAAGAAAAAATATAAAATTAAGAAAAGTAACTATTAATAATGCAAAGAAAATTGCAAAGTTCAAGAAGAATTACTACAGGAACGAACATAAGTCCGTGTGGTATTATTTAAACGAAGAACTTCGAACAATCGTACGAATTTTTGTTATGTTATATGATTTTATGTTGAATAAAAGAAATTAATTTTGAATGAATATGCGTTCAAACGAAATAACTGCAAGCTGTATAAACGCTCGAATGAACATCGACATACCGTGTTTATTCGTTGCTCATTACTGTAATCGAATTACATAAATAATCATCGTCTGAATAATCATGGATTGTAATGTATATATTTTACGATTCATTAGTAGTTCAAAGCCATTAATGAAAATCACGTATACCCTAAGATCCAGTTAATCCTATGAAACGTGCGTTAATCATTCGACGCTCCCTTCGTTGCGTCGCTCGTCAAATTCCATTTCTATTGGAGCGTAGGTAATACGATTATCGGGGCTACGTGTCGTGCTCGAAATAGTTTCCGCGATTTTGATCGATCTCGCGAATCTCATTGTCACCGAGTACTTGATGAGGCTTAACGACGTGTGATCGACCGACTGGTCTGAGTAACTCGGAGCTTATTGCACGATATACTATCTTGATGCCAATAGAAAGATTTTTTTATAGGAAATTGTATTACGAAAAAATATTTTAGTGAACTATAGATCGTAAATTACAGCACAATGGAATTTTCTGATGCATAAAATAACAGATCTTCGACATTCCTAATAGTGTTTTGCAAAAGACTGCGGAGACACAAATCTTGATGTTATTATTATTGTTATTATTATCATCATCATACACATTGATAACGTTGGGTTGCCTTGGCTTATTATGAATTTGTAATTACTGAAAAAAGTGTAATGTAAGAAATACTGTAATATTACTACCATATGACGTAGATAACAGCAAAACTAGTTTGCTCGTATATAAATGTATACATACAAAAAAGTGCATTGTTAATTGTATCAATTTACTGCAGATAAAATGATCGATTTTTTCGATCGGAATTCCTATGAATTATTCTTCTCATTTCTCTTTTGCCCATAAAAATTTAGCAGCCCATTTTAATTCAAACGTTCCACCTCAAACAATGTAAAATGCTGAAAATTCTCAAACTAAAATGCGAAATATCAAGGCAAATACGGACACAAAAATGGTTCTAGTGGATGCTTTCGCAAATATCCCATGTTCAGATACGTACATACATGTCGGAGCATTCGTTGAAGACTTACTTTTTGTTGTTGAAATAAACAAGCACAGGTACCGAACCATGGAACGATTTTGTATGCAACGTAAGCGAACGCGATCGTCTAGAAACCAGAAACGAGTTGCACAGAGTGCACACTGGCTGTGACTTCAACGGCCTCTTATCGAAACAGGATTTACTGGAAAATGTGCAAGCAACCTGTAGATGGTTACGTTACGTTCGCGTTAAACGACCCTCTGCCTATCTGCAAAGGTGAACGTGGACCCCTTTTGTGCACGGGGCGCGTAATTATTCCAATTTAACATTGAGATTGCGCGTATGTAAAGCAGCGCATGGAAGGGTTAACCTACGGATGACAAAGGACGGAAGCCAGTAACTGGGGCCATATTGACTGATGCGAAGGAATACCATATTCATTCATTTTGAAAATTTATTTAAACTTTCATCCGTAATTTTTGTAGCATGGAAGCATGTACCTTAGTTTACATTGATCCGTAGGGAGAGTTTAAATATTTATTTAGTTTTTAGACTTATTGAAGACTATATCAGTAACATGTTTTAACAATTACATAAAAAGTATACTAAAAATCGTTTAACGATACATGTTGCAGTTGATACGTCATTACTAGATTGCGGATTTGACATATTTATAGCCTATAGAGCTCTGTAAAATACAATAAGTGACTAAACTTTTACTAGATAGAACGAGTTTTCTATCTAACACTGAACTAAATAACATGCTTTAGAGAAGACAAAATTTCTAAATTTTCTCTTGCCTTTGTGAACTACTTTAGAACATATTGTGTAAAAAAATCCGCTAGTCTAATCATTACACTATCCTTTAAAAGTATTGGAAGATCATTCATAAGTCTTTACGTGTCCATGCATACCTTTTATTATACTCGTATTTATTTATTTATGTATTTATTCGTTAGTTTAAAATATATTACACACAATTAAATTTTTAGACATATTTTAATTGGATATTACGTATATAATTCTGTTTTGTCCATTATTTTCCAATAAAAAATTATTTACTTCTCTGTATTACTTCCTGGGCTGAATGATGTGCTAGCCAACTAATTTATGAAAACATTTACCAATTTAGAACAAT